AGCAACTCCGGCTGCCGTCGTGGCCATCTGCGCAAACATGCCGGGCTGTTGAGGCGCTTGCATCATGGCGCTCGGCTGTTGCGGTGCGTAGGCCACCTGCGTAGGGGCCGCAGCGGGTGCTGCAGCCCTGGCTGGGGGCGCTGCGGACCTCGAAGGAGGAGCAGGGGATTGACGTCGCCTGCGGACAGAGAAAAACATTGCCGGTCAGGGAAATCTCCGAGGAAGTATCTGAGGTTCACTCGCCTCAAACCGAAGAATAATATCGAGCTCTCCCACGGTGCCTCCCTCTGAATGTTTCTCGGAAACCCAAGGGGAAGCAGATATGCTCGATGCGACTCTGGATCTCATCTAATGAGATCGGCGTATTCGCGACTGAATGATACTCAGCACGGGAGTTCCGCGGGGAATTGAGGCTTCGAGGGAGGATTCGCCGATCATCACGCTTTATCAACCTACCGAACCATGATTCGCTCTGTTTGCCTGATCGCGCAAATATACAACGAACTTGAGAAAAAATCACTTGAAGTCGTTCAGCGAGAGCTCTCAGGTACAATACGCCGCGAGGAATTATTCTGGCCTTAAGAGCCTCACCACACGGAGGGAAGGGAGACTAAGAGTGAGGGTTACATGTCCGGACGAGTTCTGGAAGACTCGAGAACCTCGACAGCGGCGTAACGACCTCGATTGATACTTCGCGAATTCGTCGAATTCAGAGGCCGTTCCTGAACCATCAGCTCTCCTCTGAAGCTCCGTGAGCCCGAAAAATCAGATCAGGGGTCCGCGAATCTTGTAACATGGGATAGCCCGGAACGTCATTCTGCGGACTTTGAGCCGACCCGTAATCAAAGACGACAATTTCCGCGTTCATTCGTTGTCGCCGTCCGCGGAGCATGACGCAGATTCCACCGAGGCTTATTTGATACACTCATTGCCCGAAAAAAATATCCGCTTACTATCGATCTGATCACGCAAAGCGGGCTCCCGCGAATGTAGTGGCAGACGAAGGATCGGCTCTTTCCGCAAGAGACTCAGCTTGATATCTTCGGTATCCGACACAAGCAGTTTCAGTCCAGTGTAGATGAATAAGAATAATACACACGAATGCTAAGTAGGCCGGGGGGTTACAGAGGAATTCGAATCCCGGGGGATTCGAATCAGTGATTCCAGCCTAATCAGTAATTGAAGAACTTCCCAGAGAGCTCCCTTGCCGCAAGTTTCTCAGCTGACTGAGACTGAGAGAGCATCATCCCAGAATTTCTTTCCGCGCAGAGCTCGCGGTTTCTATCACGTTCGAGAACCTTCCGTTCAGGTGGCCGCCACACCTACGGCGGAACGAAACCTATTCGTCCGACATTAGATCCCTGTCGACACTTCTATTCCCAGTAAGACATCGGAGGATACTGAGTCCTGCTCTTGAGGCTGATCACGTCAGGCGATCTCAGAAGCGAAGACACCAGAACCACGCGCTCGGTCACCCTCTCATGCGAACGTCGTGGTGCAATACGTTTCAAGGAAACGGATTTATATCCCTGACTAATAGAGTTCGGATGCAGCGTGGTTGCTCGAATGTACTCACATTGGAGCCGATGATCGACGCTGACGAGCCATTTTCACGAGTGAAGTACTTTTCGTCTCTCTGTTTCTCAACTAGAATTGCCGAGGCGAACCTGAGAGTCGATGCCTTTGTGTCTGACCTCCGGCACGACGGGATGTCAACATAGAAGCCCGAGGCCCTCTCCTAAGCGCCTGCTCGACACCCGAAAATCTTGATCCATTCCCCCAGAAACTCAGGTAATCCGAGCACGGAGTCGAGAGGAAGATTTTGTCGAATACTTGAAGCAGATATGCTCGCGAGTTCACTCGCGATGTCTTCGAGAGTTTCAAAAGCTTCTATACTAGTCGGAAGCTCGATCGGGCGCGCGATTTCAAAATTGTCGAACATGTGTTTCTAAGGATTCTCCTTCTTGACGTGACTGCGCGAATGCGTCGAAGGCCTGAAAACGGTATGTAACCTGACCTTACAGAGTACGAAAACGATTGCTCGATTCCCGCAGGTGTCGAGTCAGATCACGACCGTTTCTCGACATCAAGACATGGGGTGTGCCGAATCTCCTTCCCGGACTCAGTGTTTCCGTTGTCTACTGTTCATCCTCTGCGGACTCCATGGCTCGCTCCATGAAATGGAGCCTCTTCTTCCGAACAAATGAGGGAGAGCCACAGAAATCATCGGATTGGCTGAAGATTCTCCGAATCCGCGCGAGAGGTGTTCTGACCGATGCTCGATAACTCTCCCGATTATCTCTTGCCGCAGTCGGAGGCATACCTCTCGAGGATGAAGAAACGGATAGTTTGGGACGTTAGAATGACCATTTTCTAGCGAAAATCGCGCTTCCAGGTCTCCGTCTCGCGTCGCAATGTTCCCGAGGGCTTTGAATCAGGCACGGCGATGTTTTCCGCTCTCACTGGCAACGGAACGACAGCTCCCACAGAGCGTGGTCATCCGAGATCATTTACGGCACTATTCGAAAGCAAAAGGCAAAGGTGAATCAATATTTTTTCTTATTTTCTCGCCTCCGCACTAAATGAAGAGGGGGAAACGTAAACATCGCGATAACTCCAATTGAACAAATTCCGATTGAGACCCGGACATTTTCCCCAGTTGGCAAACCGAAACAACAGCTGCGAGATGACGAGCTCGCCGAGGTACTCAAGGTCCATGTTTTCCGCGAGCAGCTGGAGAAGAGCCTGCAGAGCCTCGGGAACGCCTATCTGAAGCAATTGACCATCACAAACCCTGTGGGTGAGTTCGCCCGTAGTAGTGCGAGTGTCGAGCCTTGTTGATGCATGCCCAGAACAGAGATCTCCGAATCTCACTCAACATCGAATCATCCTGCTAATTCAATGCTGCAACTCATCTACTCCAGCCGGGCTCGATACATTGGAAGTCGAATTTGAGAACACGAATGTGCTGTTGAGTGAGGTAGGGCCCGTCGCCGTTTTTCTTCTCGTCTCACAAATTCCGATGGAGAGGGATCCTTCGGTTGCGATATGTTCATGTAGAATGTTAGACGAATACGCCGATTCCATCGCAGGTCTGCCAGATCCAGAAGAAACCGAATCTCGTGGTTCTACAGTTCAATGCGTTTCCGGAAGCCGTCAAGCCCGCGGTCAAAGTCCTACAGAATTCTGGCATCTCTTCGAGTATCCAGCAAGAGGGGACAACCGTATACCTCCACTTGGCCAAGTGAGATTCTTCCTCAATAATTCGCTCGAGTGGAAACAACGCCCTGGGCGAAGTTCAAGCTTGGCAGATGGGCTCAACCCGGAAAATTGATCAAGTCCCGAAGACGATACTCACCTCAGAGATTCCTCAACGGAATTTGATCGCATCGGTGTCAATGGAGGCTCAAAAACTTCTTCTCCCTTTCCAGGGTAACCAGAGAGCAGCGGGAACAGATGGCAAAATCAGCGAAGGCCCTGTTTCAGAAGACCAAAGACCAACTCCTACAAGTAAGTCCCGACCACCCTCTCATCAGATGAAAGTGAACTGAATTCCACGCTCCCAGAGTACCATTTTTTTTTGGTGGAGCAGCTCGCAAAGGGGTGACCCTATAATTCTCGAAAGGAACTGCGAGTGCGAAAAGGGGGAGGGGGACCGGGATTCGTACCGGTTCGCTCACGTTCCTCACGTAGTCTTCCGATTTCCAGTTGGAAAGGAAGAGCTCAAAAGAGATTCAGAATAACAAAGAGGGTCAGTCGAGTGACCTGGTCTTCCATGCTACCCAACAGGTCGGTGAATGCCGTTTGATTCTCGGATGACTACGAGTATGTTTCAAAGGAATGAAGGGAGCTCCGGTTTTCAAACTGCCCAACCATTTCCCCGCAGGTGAAATACGAAACCGAGCAAACTATCGAGAAGGCGGAGGGAATGATGAAGGCTAAGCAGAAGGAGCTCTTATCCTGAATAAAGAGGAAATCATCTTAGAAAGCATGTTTGTACTTCTCGGTTCCGTCTCGTATTTCTCCGGGTAAACCTCCGTTGCTTCGTCGACCATCAATAAAACTATGCCGTTCATGACAAGAATGGGAATAGACTTTGTGCTCTTCATTGTAGCATCAGTGACTCGCTGACTTGTTAGCCGTGAAGCCGCGTCGTCCTGTGAGATCACGGTGTGTCCCTGTGAGATCACGGTCTGATTCTGTGAGATAATCTTGTGGTCCTGTGAGATCACGGCGTCGCCCTGTGACATCACGGTGTCGTCCTATGAGACCACGGTGTCGTCCTGTGAGACCACGGTGTCGTCCTGTGAGATCACAGTGTCGTCCTGTGAGATCACGGTTTCGCCCTCTGAGATCACAGCGTAATTCTGGGATCACCATGTGCGAAAAAATCAAGAATTAGAGGGAAGAGACGCCCGATCGCGCTCAAATTCTCAGCACGGATCATCGGCATCACCAGTTCCACTCTCCCATCGACAGATTCCGTTTTCGTGTGATTTCACCCCGCATTTTTCTTGTACGTAGTTCTCGTAAACTCAACGCACGCACAATCATACGGAAAGACGCCGCACAATGCGTATTAGCGTACAAGCCGAATTTCATGTCTAGGTTAGAACCGTCAGCGCACCCAATGCTAACAGCAGCCACCAAGGATCTGATTCTTGTTGTTCTCTCCCCTGTTCTCCACAACATCATCTCGCACTCTCTCAATTTCGCACAGACGAATAGCAAGTCCCATGTTGATATTTTCAAGAAATAGCCCGAATTGAGTGACCTGTCGCTGCTACCATCTCTGCTTGAAGCGAACGGGGAAAAGTTCCGAACAGGCTGCTTGCAGACCACCGAGCATTCAATCAAGCTGCTGAGGGAGAAAGCTCTACCGAACGAACTTCATCCTAGCTTATGTCTTCGCCTGGAATGCTTTTCTAGGATTTGGCGTAAGTGATTCAGCGTAAATGTGAATAGAGAACTCCGGGTTCGCGATTCGATTCAAGTGAGTCATTCACGAACCCAGGATTAGGAAGTGGCCCAGTTTCTCCCGAGTCTGCAGACACAAACTGCGGAATATCTATGAGAGCGAGAGAAAAGTTGACTGAAGTCGCGTTCGAACGTAAATATCAAGCACAAAAAGGATTGATACGAGACGCCGAAGTATTCCTCCGTCGCCCAAGGCCGAGGATGTCTGTGGGGACTCACACTCACGATGTTGCACAAATTCTATGAAGTGCTACGGGGATTTTTTCTGTCTGCGTCGGTTCATCTTATTCGCTGCATCTGACCCGTCCGTTCTGGTGGGGGGATATCGATCGGATCTGCGGATTTTCATTGCGCTATCAAACCAACTGTCCCCAGCGATAATTCATGTCGAATTCCGGAGTTCCATCGGAGGAAAGAGTCCCAAGACAAGCCATGAGAAAGTGATTCTCGAACGGGAACTCACGCGAATTCGGCGCTCTCCACTACACCGTCCGATTAAGACTGTCTGATATAGATCACGAGCATCTTGAGCGCAGGGGCATATCTTTGCGACGAATTACTATGACCCAGAGCTATATTGAGAAAACTCGCGAGATGCCTGATCTAACTGGGAACTAATCTTCGACTTCGGTAGCGTTTCGAGCTGGAAGAGAGTTGTGCGCATCGCACACAACGAGTGTCAGCGTCGGGATAAGTTTTCAATCGTCGCGTCTGAGACTTCGCGAACCGTCCACGATGATAAAGCTTTATCAAGCAAAGAATTCTTCCAAAGAAGACTCCAATAAAAAAACTTGCGCCGCGCAACTTAGGATCAACAAAGACGTGAACGAGTTGGAGCTCCCTCCGGGCTGCCACATCGAGTTCAGGGGTGAGGAATCCTGTCAGCGATATTTCTCTCGTCACCGTCTCAGCCTCTCCCTTACTGATTGGAGTATTCTTCACTTCGCAGATAAAAATGATTTTCTCAACTTCCGCATATCGATCGCTCCTGATCAGGGATACTACAAAGCAAGTATTCGCGCTGCAAAGCAGTTCCTTCATGGACGCACCGAGCTTTTCCGCCATGGAAGCCCCGCGAACTCTCTCGAATAAAGGGAAGACATTGCTTTGCAGGGAGGCAGGTTCTGGTTCACCTTCAAAGTTCCGACAAATTATCCTCATGAACCTCCTAAAGTCCGCTGTGAAACACGGGTGAGAGATTTACCGATCGTATTCCTGATGCCCCATCGTGTTGCTCCCGCTGCCGGGAGCATCAGCCGCATATTGTATTGAAGAAAAACTCTCTACGACTTCCTCCTTCTCCCTCATCAGGTTTACCATCCAAACATCGACTTAGCCGGAAATGTCTGTCTGAATATCCTCCGTGAGGGTAAGCTATCAGGGCCCGTTCGCTCGAGAGACATCATCCAGCGTCTTGACTTGAATCTTAACTTGAAATTCTTCATCTACAGATTGGAAACCCGTTCTGACAATCCAGTCAGTTGTTCACGGTCTTTTGTTCCTTCTACTGGATCCCAACCCTGACGATCCGCTAAACAAAGAGGCCGCGCAAGTCCTGCAGGCGAATAAGTTCGTTTCCTCCCCTTTTGTGGACGGACATGAGAGCGGGGAACTTGAACAAAAATCGGCTGTAGCTAAATGTTTGTTGGCTTTGCAGAAAACTTTTCGAGCAGAATGTGCGTCGCGCGATGACAGGAACATCTGTAATATACAAGTGAAGAGCAGAGCGTGAGAGCTGGTGCTTAAAAATCTGACATCGACGGTTCAAGCATCATTATACATAGATCGAGAACCTATGGAACGAATGGGAATAAAGTTTGGCATGACAAGTAAAAACGAAGCCTTGATTTTCGTAGAAGATAAGCCTGGGTTTCTCCCCGTCGTATTGTTCCTGAGCTCGTAAATGGGCTTTCAGGAGGTCTTCGAGAATTATCGGAACGGCGAAGACTGATTTCTTGCGATATTGGCGGAAAAGACGCTCTTCGGCACCAATCTATTGAAGGAGAATCAGCGATGAACGCATTGCCAACCTATCGAGGACCTCGCCGAGGCTGTTGCTCCCCCTGGGAACACGCTCCTATTACTCATCGATTAACCCCCTCCATGCAAGCATAAGCGAAGATAATGTCCTCGAGTATGCTCGATGCCCATTGATCCTCCTCCCACCGTGAAAGACCTCCTGATATTGAGTAACAAAAACGGAGCGAGACAAACGCTCACCGGGTGATATGCTTTTCGGCGAAGAAAAAATGACGGAAGATGGCATTGCTTCGCCCCCTCGAATGGAAATATATTTGAGGTGGATTGCCGAGTCTCGGCACGATTTGCCTGGGGATTCAATTGCGGAGCCCCTAGAAACTGCGGTATGTCAGTGGCCTCCGATGGTACGGAGGATGATGAGATACACTGTTTCAAACCTCATAGACCGATACAGTCGGGTCGCCAGAAACTCTCTGGGGCTCGAAGAGCTCAAGATGAGGAAGACGGAAGGAGTCTCAACGATTCCTCAAGCGTGACAGATGTTTCCCACATAACGGACGATATGAGAGATATCAACAAATGTGATACGTAGTGGACAAAGATCCAAATGGAGGGAGCCTCTCGGAAGAGTCGCTAAATGTTCTGTGATACCGACTTTTCAATGAAAAATCGATTCTACTATGCATAAATCACCCTATCTAAACGGGCATGCTCTTATTAACGCGCATTTCTAACTCACGGGCACCCCTCCAGAGCTCCTGAACGATGAACGGGCATGCCCCTCTTTAAGAGGAAATACGGTGTGCTTCCAAGATGACTCCAATCTAGGGCGTGAGGTGGCGTTGTTGCGCCCGGGCGGATCCAGAGGATGGCGCTCCCTCCAATGAATTCCATTTCCGGATCCCATTTCACCTTTCTGGCTTGACTACACTGGAAATGACGCTCCTTCCTCGCGAATTGCAACCTCGAATTTCATTCATCGAATCCGATGGAATCTCCTCTTGCTTGCCTCGACCGGGAATGGCTACCCCGGAAGTGGTCACAGAACGGGCGCCCGGGGCGGTATCCCCCCCTATCACCTCTTCAACGAACTTTATTTCAGCTGAATGGAAATTAGGCTTCCATCCGACTTGGAATGGATTACAATGAGTGAGTCAGTCTAAATGTCGTTATCACTCATCTTGCGCTCGACACGATTGCAATTGTTCGGTCCCCTCTAGCCAGAGTCCAGCTTGTGGATGCAGCTGCCGCTCGTCTTCGGCAGGGATTCAATGCAAGACCTATTGACGGAGGAATATCCAAAATAGGCTCTTAGGAACATCGGCCAGAGATGCTTCGTCAGATGTTTCTCGAAGGCGAGCATATGACCTGGGATCCCGCCACATTCAATTGTTAGAAGGAGCGTTGCAGTATATATACGGCGGTCTCGGGGTATCGTTACACTTCCAGACGGGCAGCCATGAACGCGTCTATTTCTGCTTGCGCATTGCTGCTGGCTGCGCTTATCTGCCAGGTTCAGCATTCACAGAGTGAGTTTTCGCCTGTCTCTCCGTCTGCCACATCCCCGCTAACAATACACCCCGTATGTCCGTCGTCATCGAGAGACGAGGTCTCGCGATTTCCCCCGCATGGCTCTTCTCAAGCAACGGTGGGATTGTGTCGGCGTCTCAATGCCGCACGATCCGACAATTTTCGACTTTTCCAGGTGCGTGTTCACCCGTAGGCTACTGCCCGTGTAGGACGGGAGTGGATCGTTTCGGTTGCCTCCTGTGCCTATGTGAGTCGATCCCAATCCGAGTAGGGAGTCAGGCAGCTTTCGAATATCCTAGAGCGCGATCGACTCACGGAGGAGCTCATGTTTGATATTGTTCAAGGTTTTCCGTGCAACCTATGTTGTCCTCGCGCACAATTCTCCGAAATGATCTACTGGACCAACATTGGAGCCTACTGCCCGAGGAGCTGCTATCGCGAACTTCCAGGATTAATCATAGATGGCCGTTTGAACTATTGCCCGGCCGGTTATAATCTTTACGGGCTATGAGATCTCGCCTCGTCGACTGTGACGAGCTGAAGAATGTACAAATGAATGAAGCCGGGAAGAATCGTTCTAAAAATAAATGCAATGAAGTTTCCCCTCACAAAGACCCGAGTTAGTTCTGTCTAGACTATCGCGATTCCACGAGCCCCTTCTATGTTTCCACTCTTCTTCCATCGATCGAGTAAAAAGAGTTTTGCATGCTGAGTGAGCAAGCTCTCTTTCAGAAGTTCTCTGGAGGTGAACGACCCGAGCATTCCGGGTCCCCTAGCTGTGCCAATTTTAGTATCTGGGATGACAGGATCCAACACGGGGTTCGAGAGCCGAGAGCTCCCGCCACATACTCAGCAATTTCTTCTTCGGCTCCCGCTGTCGAACACGGACTTGAGTCATAAAGAGATCCGTCTCGAGGCATGTCAGCTTTCCACGGATCAAGCGAAATCGAATAGTCCAGTCACATCAAGGATTTAGCTGGTTTCTCCATTGGAGCCCTCCTTATGCCAGGTTTAACGACGGCACATGAAGCGGGATCTTAGGCTATATCGAGTCGATATCTCGAGTACGGTAAACATGAATCCCTCCCTGACCTCCCTAATGAAGATTTTCATTTGCGAGCTCGAAAATGAACTACACATCTGTTAAGAATCCCGAGCATAATTCACGAGAGCTCTGGACAATTCCGTGAGGTTTGTTTGAGGATGCTATCATCCTCGATCCATTGCATCATTTTTTTCCGTCATATCCGTCTTCGTACGCCAGGGGCTCTCCGACTACTTGAGAACTGACTATTGATCAGAATGGCGGCTCCTTGGACGAATCTCACCCTGAGGACCTGTTACGAGCCGGTGAGCGATAAGTTGTGACTTTGAGGGAAAACGACCGGAAAATTCCGAGAAATGTTTCAATCTATCATTCGCAGTGCAGACTGCCGGCTACACAGCTGACATTGGGGATGGGATCACCCCAGTCGGACTCATAGGATCGCCTTTCACAAACGTCACGGCATCGATGGGATTACGCTGGACGAGAGTTGTGAACACCGACAACCAGTGGGGCGAATGCTTCCCGAACAGAACCTGCGTGGGATGTCTTCGCTATCTGGCATCAGGGGCGAGTATCCATAGAGCATGGAACTATGCATCAGCTCAGTGGCCAGGGAGCGGGTTTCCATGTCGAAACTTCCCTCGAGGAGGCAAAGAGCAGCACTTCGTTATGTGAGATAGAGGTCGTGTGTCGTTTACGTATAGAAATCGGAACAAAGTCCCCGGACTCGGATCCCGTCGGTCGTTTGCGGGAGGCGCAGAATGAAAGGAGCTAATTGTAAGGCACGCCAGGTCCAGAGGTCCTCGAGGCCACCCTCACGGTAACGAAGCTCGAACGACGTCACGAGGACCGCTTACTTTTGAAGGAGGCGGACATCTCTCTGGGACCCTATATCTTCTCATCACTTATGGACAAATCAGTGAAACTAAGGTGGCCGCTGTTTTTGAACAACTTTGTGATTATTCATGGCATGACGAATCAGTTCCAATCAGCTGGTGCTTTCGCCCTGTACAACTTGTTCTCACCTCAGGTAAACCAATTCTCGAATCATTCCCCATTATCGATCCCGCTCCAGCTAAAGAAAGGAGCCACACGAGGAGAAAACTCATTTGAACGGACCGCAATCGACTTCCGTTAGGTTTGGAGCCTGATTTTCGTGTCTCTGGTTGCGCTTCCCGCGATGGCTCGGGCGATGAACGAGTTCGTGGCCCATGACGACAAGATGAGCTTGGGAGATCATTTTTTGACCTTCATGGAGCAACTTCTGCTGGAGGGTGAGTTTGTATCTGGAAATTCGAAAGCCTCCGATTCGGAGGTCTACAGCGAACGAGAAGCTGAGACATGATTTTATTCACGCCCCTTAGCGCCAGAGAAAAAATACAAGTCGGATCCTCTCCGAGTACTCTTCGCTGCATGGATGGTTTCGGCGCTGATTTTCTCTATGCTTGCAAGCGCAACTCTGAAATCGGTGATGTCGGTGGCAACTCCAACTCCGAGGCTCGAGGTCGCGGCCGATATCCTCAAGAGGAATCCAGAAGAGCTTACAGTCGCTGCTCTGCCAGGAGCCGGGGTCCCCGAGTCATTGCAGGCAAGTGATTTCCCAGTCCTCTTTCGATGTATTCACTTTGACTCCTCCGCTACTTCTCATCCGAACAGTTGTTCTCTGCTTTCAGAACGCTGATTTCCAGCTACTGAAGGACTTGGGGAACTTCCTCGTCCGCAGCAACGGTCTCCTACCGGATGCTGCCGCTTACAGCAGCACATCTCGGCTGCGACAGCTTGAATCGGGCAGACTGCTCTACCTCCTACCCTGTGAAATGATCGGGACGTTCCTCTACACCTCGATCGAGGTGGTTGAGAGCATGCAAGGCTACCTCTACTGTAGCGAAGAAGCTGTGCTGAAGTTTCACGTGGGTTGGGTCTCCTCGAGGAGGAGCGACGACCTTCACGAGATCGTCTATCGAGAAATGGAGAAACGGTGAGGGGCTGTCCGAGCTCTCTACGAGTTCGGAGAAAACTGGGAACAGAGGGGGACGTAAAAAGCCGAATTAGCCGGGTTGACCATTTTCTCGATTCCGGGAGCAGGTTTCGCTGGATGGTCGAATCCCCGTCTCGTTATCTTCGACATTACGAAACGGAACACCCGAAGCTAAGCGAGAGAATCCTCAATCGTCAAGATAAGAATTCCCAACAGTCAACGCCACAACCTCTGGGAACGGGAGACATCGCCGGACTTCTACTCCTATTCGGGATCACCTTAAGTTTGTCGGTCGTATCGTTCATCCTCGAGATGCTCGTAAGAGCAAGAAGACCTGCGAGTCACGGTTGCGATCCGGAGCGAAATGGACTCGGAGAATCTCCTACAATAAATTCCACCTTCTGAGGTCTGATCGCAGCGGCGAAAAGTAGCCTTGGACTTCCAGCGCTACAATACAATGATAATAATTAGAGTTTCCATTTGCCCGGACATTTTTCCGGGAAGAGCGGAAATTTTCCGGACGGACGTCAGGGCTGAAAGCGGACGGAAACCCGGACATGCGAATCCCGCGGGAAATCGGAAGCGCGAGATGATAGGACAAACCCGAATAGTCGCGGTCGAGGTCACTCGCGGAATCCAAGAAAACGACCCGGAGAGGATATTGCTTTCCAGACTACGGATGCGCACTCGATAACTGCCCCTTTCACATGAGTTGTACTAGCCGAGCTCGTGATCCCGAAATCGAACCTGGTCGTACTCAGAATTCATCACGAGCCCTGCCTGAGGCGGACCTTATCCGGTCATGTCCCGGAAATTCCGGACCCGGACAAAAGCGGAGGAAAGCAGAAAAAAAGACGGAAAAGGACATGTCCGGGTAACTGGGAACTCTCATAATGATTACAATATGGCAAAACCTCGTGCTATGCTGCCAACGATCGAAGACCAACAGGGTTTACAAGTTGCACAATAACATTTTAGGGTTTTTATTTCATTTCCTCGGAAATACCTATGAAAAATCCCCTGCGAGCCCTCAATCTTGATCTGTGTCTTCGCCCTGCGACGGAGAATATGCCGGCGAGGACGGCGTATAAGTTGGCGAACTGGGAGAATAGTGCGCACCCTGATGCGTAGGAGAGCTCGGGGAGTACGTTGGCGAAGACGGGGAGTAAGAAGCCGCCGACGGGGAATACGTTGGAGACGATGGAGAGTACTTCGGGGACGAAGGACTGTATGAAGGTGAGGTTGAGATGTTCGGAGAAGACGGTGAATACGTTGGTGAGGACGGACTGTACGATGGCGACGGGGAGAAATGATGCGACGTCGACGGCGAATATGAAGGCGATGAGGGCGAGTAGGACGCGTTCGATGGAGAATACTTCGGCGACGCGGGGGAATAAGTGGGCGACGCCGGACTGTACTTGGGAGAAGATGGGGAATAAGAAGGCGACGTCGGCGAATAGGTCGGCGAACTGGGGGAGTACGACGGCGACGTCGGGGAATAAGACGGAGACGACGGCGAGTACGAGGGACTCGACGGGGAGTAGGAAGGACTCGACGGTGAGTACGACGGCGAGGTCGGCGAATACGAAGGACTAGAGGCTCCGTACTGCGGCGACGATGGGCTGTACGACGGTGACGACGGGGAATACGTGGGCGATGATGGCGAGTACGACGGACTCGAAGGACTGTAGCTCGGGGTGGTCGGCGATGACCCACTGCTGTACTGAGGACTGGTCGGACTGTAGGACGGCGACGCCAAATTGTACGAAGGCGACGACGGCGAGTACGACGGGGACGTTATTTGCGGACTGTAAGACGGCGAAGTTCCGCCGACATGCAGCGGCGAAGTTCCGCCTACATGCAACGGCGAATAGTAGGCGGGACTGCTCGGCGAGCCCGGGCTCTGCGCTGGCGAATACGCCGGAGAATACGCGGGAGAGAAGCCGACCTCGCTCTGGGCAGACGGGGAGAATCCCGCGGCTCCCGGGGTCATGTTCGACGTAGGGGACCACATGCCGTAGGCAGGTGTTTGACCCGCGTTCCACGGGGTCATCTGGGGGCTCATACCCGCCATCGGGGTCGCGGCAGAGCCGAAGAAAACCCCTTGCCCAGGCATGCCCTCCATCCCGGGCATAGCCATGCTGACTTCTATGCCAAGTCTGCATTTTTCCGCGTCGAGCATCAAATCGAACGCTCCGGTTCCCATGCGAGCGAGTTTACCCAGAATGATGTTCTCTGAGACACCTTTCAGCTTATCGGCCTCTGCGTGGAATGCCGCGTCCATTAGAATATCGACAGTCTCCTCAAACGAGCACCTCATTAGAGCGCCCGTGTCTTGTCGATTGATACCGTGACGTGTGATGGCCATCAAGTGACCTTTGGCGGTCATGACGTCGCAAAGGAGAGCCAGATGCCTGTAGTTAACGTAGGAACCGTCGAACGAGATGACGTGATTCATTTCTTTTTCGACAGCTTTTCGGACGGCTTCGATGCCGAGCACGGAGAACACCTCGATGATGTCGTTCGAGTACGTCCTCACCGGATCGACGTCCCTCTCGGATAGGACCCGCATCAGCGAGGTACCGTCAGTTTCGAGAAGCCACTCGGAAATTGCTTTGAATTCCCCGGTTTCGGTGACGACGATTCGTTTTTTGTCGTCCGTGGTAGGTAAATGCATGTACACTTTGGAGATCGCTTCGATGCCCTGCAACGTCATGTCCGAGAGCATGTTGCTCTCGATACACCGGAGGAAAACATCGTCTTCCATTTTATCGGCTTGTTCTTCGGCGCCGTCGGCGAATTTGTCGCCGTCGTTGTTCATGATCCTTATGCGGAGCACGAGTTTGTCGGCGTTGTCGTCGTTGAAGATGCAGTTGAGATCGTCACCGAATCCGGCGTTGATTTTTTCAGCGATCTGTTCCATGGTGAGTTTCTTGTCCGTCATTCGCTTGCGATCCAATTCGACACGCAAGAGCCACGGAGAGATCTTCGTCGGATCGAAGTCAGGCATTTCGTAGTAGACGTTGACGAAGTCCTGATCCTCGGCGATTACTGTGTTCTGGGGGTCCGGGTCATAGTAGATGGCGGTGTTGGCTGTGACTTTCCGGAGCGTCGTGTGCTCGAGTCGACACAGGACGTCTTTGGCTTTCTCGGCGTCTCGAGCCGATGCGCCCTTCAAGAACACGGTCAGCGACGGCGTTTTGGGCTGCTTTGAGATATTGATGATTTCCTTTAGACGAGGTACACCGAGCGTCACGTTCTTAGCTGACACTCCGGCGTAATGGAAAGTGTTCAGCGTCATCTGCGTGGCAGGTTCTCCTAGAGACTGGGCGGCGAGGGCGCCGACCATTTCTCCCGGTTGACCCTGGGACTGATGGAATCTGGCCTCGATTTCACCGAGCAGCCAGTCGAACGCTTCCGTGGACAAGCGGAACTCCTGACCCACTCTCCGGGAGCAGAGAGTCGATCGCAGCAGAGCTCTGAACAACAATGTGGCGTTCTCGTTCGCCTGAATCGAGAGATGATCGTCGCCGGGCACAATGATCAACTTTTTCACGAGGCTCTCAACACCTTCGATGACTCGCAGAGGACTGAGGTCGGTTTTCCCTCTGGAGTTCACCCGGAACGTTTTCTGAGCATTCCAGACCATACGGCTCAAGTTGCATGGTAGGACGACGCTGCTGGTTCCGGTTGGGAAGACGTTCCTGAGTATTTCACGATCTTTCTTCAAGCAGTCCCACTCGCGCTCCATTTCGGCCACGGCCGACGCTGAGCTGTTGAGCTCTTTGACCACGTCTTCGGTGTAAACCTTCCGTAGAAGCTTCTCGTTGGCGACATCGAATCGGAACTTTTGCTCGAATTGTCGGTCTGAAGGTTTAATTGTAGCGAGATATTGCGTCTCCACGCAACATCCGTCGAGGCCGTCCTCTCCGTAGCGGAACTGGATGACTTGACCGTTCGAGTTCCGAACTGTACCGTCGTAGCAGATCATCACCTGCGAAAAGTGAACCGAGACGAGTTAGCGGGCACTCATCGACAGCTTTCGAACAACGATATCTCTCGCTCTCAATGGAAATTTCGAAGCCTCGAGGTCCATGGTGATCCTCCGAGGAATGACTCACCGACTCCATGGCTTTGATCAGACGACGTTGAATATAACCGGTTTCAGCGGTTTTCACAGCTGTATCGATTAGACCTTCACGTCCTCCCATAGCGTGGAAGAAGAATTCGGAGGGAGTGAGGCCGGCGAGGTAGGAGTTCTCTACGAAGCCCCTGGATTCCGGTCCGAAATCATCTTTGATGAAATGGGGCAGAGTTCTCTTACGGAACCCGAAGGGTATGCGTTTTCCTTCGACGTTCTGCTGCCCCACACAAGCGATTACTTGGGAGATGTTGATCTTGGATCCCTTTGCGCCCGACACTACCATGGACTTGAAGTTGTTGAATTCGGAGAGGGATTTTTGGGCGGAACCTCCTGTTTTGTCTCGAGCGTCGTTCAGGATTCGATTCACCTGATTCTCGAATGTCTGTCGCAGCGTGTTTCCGGGCGTCGGCTCGAGTTCGTCGTTGTGGGCTTTCTCGATGACCTCTATGACGTCTTGTTTTGCTTTTTTGATAGTGTTCTGAATGTCCATGTAGGTCTGTTGGTCGGCGATGGTGTCCCCGATACCGATCGAGTGACCTTCGTATAGCAGCCACGCGTTCACAACCGTTTGGAGATGGGAATAGAAAGCACCCGCCACTTCGTGCCCCATTTCTACGAAGAGGACGTGCATGAGCGAGCCTGCCGAAGCTCCGACCGTCTTTTTACAAACGATACCGGACAACAGCTGACCGTGCTCGATGATGACCTTCGTATCCCCAGGGGATATCCACTTGTAGGGTCCATCATCCTCTTCGTCCGGATGCGTTGAATGGGTCCGGATAAGATTGACGTTCCCGGGTATGATGAGTGAGAACAGCTGTTTCGCTGTCCACAGGGGTTTCGGCTTGAGAATAGCGGGAATCGGTACTTTCCCATTCCAGATCGGGAGGAACATTAACAGATTCATCATCTGGTCCTTCTCCAGGTATACGTCACGTTTCGTCATTTTTCGAACGGCCGTGAGCGTGTCCTGTACGATGCCCATAACGGGCTTGTTGGCTTGCGGAGTGATGATCTGGCGAGGCACCATGGCCAGTTGTTCGATTTCGGCACGGGTTTCCAGGGATTGAGGAACGTGCATGTTCATCTCGTCACCGTCGAAATCGGCGTTGTACGGTGTTGTCACGGATAAGTTCATCCGGAAAGTTGACCAAGGGAGCACACGGATCTTGTGGCCCATCATACTCATTTTGTGCAATGTCGGCTGACGGTTGAAAACAATTATGTCGCCATTCTGCACATGACGCTCGACTCTGTATCCGCACTGCAGATGCAAATCTGAAGCTTTTGGATGGAACCTGAGATCGATCCGCTCGCCATTCTCGCTGGAAAAGAAAGGAAGTGGGATCACATTATTCACTGAGCGCGTGGACTTCCAATCGATATTCCACGAAGAACCGCGATAATTTTCCTTATTGATTCCTTCGCTCATCGACTCATCAATTCACCTCTACTCTACTCACCGAACGATGTATTTCGCGCCGGGATACTGATTGTTTCCCCGCGACACAAGTTCCTGCATGCGTTCGATATTGAACGGGGTGACGATTTCGGGAAACGTCAAATTTTGAGCGATGCTCCTCGGCACACCGACCTCGTTGATTTTCAGGTTTGGGTCCGGCGTAATGACGGTTCGCGCTGAGAAATCGACTCGTTTCCCCATGAGATTGCCTCTGATACGGCCCTCCTTGGCTTTCAGACGTTGCTTTATCGATTTGAGGGGTCTCCCTGATTTTTGCATTGCCCGCGGAAGGCCCGGCAACTCGTTGTCGTAGAGGGTGGCGACGTGGAATTGGAGCATTTTGACGTTTTCGGCCAATATGTGGGGCGCTGCCCCGCTCTGCTCGTTCCTGATAAGTTCGTTATTGGCTTTCACGATGTCGGAAAGCTTGTGGGTGAGATCGTCCTGGTTTCTGGCTGAGCCGAACATGACGACGGCCGGCCGAACGCACAAAGGCGGCACTGCCAGGACCGTCAGGACCATCCAGCTGGGTTTGGCGTAGCGCTCGTCCATGCCGAGACAGAAACACTCTTCCTCGGAGATGTGTTTGAATATTTCATATACTCGCTCCGCGGTCAGAACTTGTTTCTTCTCCTGGTTTTCTTCATTGGTATGTTTCCACTCTGCGCTGATGTCGAGACCGGAACGACGATAGTTGGGCTGATATCTCCCGCAACCGACGTGCATCATTTTTCTTTCCTCTTCCGTCGGCTCGCCCTGACCCTTGTCGCTCGTGTCGCTCTCTTCGCACATGCTCTTGGTCTTGCAAATTTCGTAAACCTTGTCCAAACGCTGCTGCCTCTGTGTCGTCTTGGTCTTGGAGAGGATTTCGCGCATGCGAGGATGGTTCTGTAAGATCGGGAATCAATCAGTTGTTCACGGCCCACGATCGTCTTTCCGCCCTGGATGATCCGCTCTCGAATAAAATTCATTCATTATAACTGGGATCAGTACTTTTCCATTGAAGATTCACCAAAATTTACTCACCGGACTGACGAGTAGACGACTGCAGTAATAGCAGACACATCTGAGAACTTTGAGGGTCTTGGTCAGGAAGCCGACGTGGAAAACTGGCTTCGCGAGTTCTAGATGACCGAAATGTCCGGGACATTCTGTCATGTTCCCCGAGCAGGTCAAGCAACGAGAAGTCCGATCGATGACTCCTTGCCGAGGGTCCATGAGACCCCCAAGCTTTGGTCTGTTGCCCTCGTATATTTCTGCATACCGGATCCCGCCCTCTGTCACTGACATGCGACGCTGCGCGAGAAAAAGAAAGAATACTTATCAGCAACGATTCGCAATCTCCCTACTCTAGTTCAGGGGGGAAGGGGGATGGAGGAGGGGGAGAGGAAGGGTGGCGGTGTACGGGAAAATACCCTACGCGGCACGAATGCCGCTCGAGTGGGACTAAACTCAGGGTCGAAATTTTCTTCCTCCCCCTAGAATTTATCGTGGCATGGATTCTCCCTTGTCATGTTCATCTCGATGCGTTCGAACTTGGGCAACAACGAGTTCTGACAGAAGTTCTCTCGGAGAAGTTCCCGGCGGATGCGTATGCTCCACCAGAAGTGAGCGCATTCACACAGGGAACCATCGGCTGCTCATGGTTGAGGAATGGCGGGCATCGCAACCCGAACGGCAATACTTCTGGCATCCGTTGAGATGCACTCGGAATTCAGCTGACGCTTCGACGGAACATCGATACGGGATCGGTTGCTTTCCTCGACATACGTAGGAATGAGTTAGCTCATCACGAGAATCTCGGTCGATGTAGGGTTTTTCGAATCGAGAGCTTCCCCTCGACTCGTGCCGGAGGCCATGTCCAGGCAATAGCGTTCAGGAGCACAGCTTAGCGGCGTAGCAGACATATCACATGAGGTTTGGAGAACACTGCTTTTATTCAAATCTTCACATGGGAAACGAGCGGCTCCTGCACTAGGATACATGCAGAACGTGAAAAACTTACGATCTCGTCGGGATCGAGAATTCCGAATTGCACCTCCCGCACCTCACGGAGGATCGCTTTCGAGTCCGACGTTATAATTTGTGACATATCGAAGACGCTTCCCGGCGGCGCCGGCTATCGTCAACGAGGATTTCGAACAGTGTCAGGCAGCGCACACACGCACGATTCGAATAAAGTGTGTTATTCGCCAACTTGGGTTAGGCCTAACAAGGGCCGCGAGCCGCGACCAAGCGCTCGCCACAGGCAAAGGCTTATATAGCCGAGTTTGGGAGAGGGCGGTGACGTCGCTTGTGGAAAGCGCTCTTCTTTTCTCTCGATTCAGGATTCAAACGAGGAAAAGGCATTATCCCCCCGATGCTGTGGGGGATAGGAGGACCTCGGGAGCGCTAAATTATTTCTCGTTTACGCCGTATGTCGGAGGCTCAATATAGAGCGCTTCGGTCTCGTTGCAATAGTGGCGCCAAAAAGAAAGGGTCAAACAGTTCCCCCGAAGGCCGTTCCTGCCTCCTCAGAATCAGATTCGATCTTCTAGAATAAGCTCTGGATCCAGTCAGAGTTCTCAGCTCACGGGAAAGTCTCCGCGGAATCTCTTCCCTCATCAGGAGATTTGCGTTCGACTGGATCTTCTTCAGCGAATGCCGCCAGATGGCGCAAGAGGCGATCCAAGATGGCGATCCTCGTGGCTTTTGAATTCGAAAGATCAATTCGCGCACTTCCGCGGGAATGGGAGTCGGCCCATATGCCGCTGGCTCGCGTGCCTGACGTTCGGGAAGACATTCCGGGAAGCTCCAGGACGCGACCGGAAAAACCGACAGAGACGAAAATTCATACGATGATCTTGCCCCCGCCGACTTCCGGAATTTGAACATCGTTCATTTGTTCTCTTCATTAACTACGGGATATCCTTATTCGGACGGATCGTTGAAGCTGACAATGATACAGCATCACGAGGCCAGGCGATTTCCCGCGCCTAGCCGTTCTAGGTCCCGCGCAAATACAATATCGATCGCGGAGGTTTTCGAAGATTCCGCTTATATCACTAGGGGATACGATCAGATCATCTGGCCAATCGTTGGATGCTCAGAGTGGGACTCCGAGGCGGGTATAGATTAGAGAGGTCATGAAATGCAGCTCAGGAAGCTGTCGAGTCTTCCAAGCTCGATCGGTCTCCCGCGGTAGAGGAGCGTCGTCGACGCGAAGATCAGCATTCTGAATGACTGGAAGAAGGCGACAAGGTAGCCGCTCTGTTCTCAGCCGTTGGACAGTAAATCTGCTGTGCAACCCCTTCACGGCGCCCGGGGCGGTCAACAAAAAAGTCTCTGGACGCGATTACCTAATCAAAATGCCGCCCCGTAGACACGTTCAATCACTCGAGAGCTGGCTGATCTTCGATCGGAATCATCCCTCCTCATGCGAACCTTCCACCCAGAACCTGTGCCGCGCCGGTCAGCGATCAAGTTCCATCAAGACTCGAGTGGGGCAACAGATAGCTCGCTAGGCTACATTCACTGCAACGCAGAAACCTTTGCTGAAGCTTCACGCACGCTGGGCTACATCGAGGAGCAGCAATGACGTCCGCGGAATGACCTACGGGGTAAAGGAAAAAACGGTGAAAATCAGCGCCCTCATCGTCGAAGGCGCCGTCAATTCTGATACCCTCGTTCTGGCTTCTCGGGAGGCGCAGAAAGGCTCGGAACGTATCATGATGACCATAATCAATCGGAACCGCCATTCTGAAGACAGTTTTCTAATCTCGGACACTGAGACCTCGAACCCCCGAAACTGCGCGAGAGAATGCTCGATCCCAGGGACAAGAACTTTAGGCAGTCGACACCTCGACCTCTGGGGCTGGAAGAAATCGCCGGGAGCCTCTTCTCATGTGGATTCTCTCTGATCGCTTGTTCATCGCTCGTGATAACAACATTGATCATAGAAACGCTCATAATCGCGGAAAAACGCGCGAGTCTTCCAGCGCCAGGCACCGACTTTGATGATTTCCCGCGGGATGTTTGCAAGTGAGGAGGGCGATATTCTCTGACTGAGTGACCGGGGATTCTCGAGACTTGAGAATTCACCGACAGGGGTTTCCTCCCATCTAAGTTCTTCAAATCTTCAAATCATTAGCTTGTTAGAAGGTCGTTGTGCAGGATTCGTACTGCGAGACGCCATACTTTGCAAGAAGGATATCGAATGTTCAAGAATGCCTATTATCGGCGTCCTAATGAACGAGTCAATTTGTGTCCGAGCAGCACAGAATCTCTTGAGGACCTTCAGGATCATTAGGAACGGCTGTTTAGAGTCCCAAGAAGTTTGTTTAAGGATAAAATCACGCTCGGTACCCGCGGCTCTGGCCTCAGTTTTCCATTATCATTTTTGCTGTAGGGCGCTTCATATTATTCGGGGGCTCGATCGCTGCGGAGCAGGATGGCTGCTCCCTGGGCGAATCTCACTCTGAGGATGTGTTTCCAGCCGGTTAGCGACTAACTTTCATGATTGTCGATCATCCCGAGGAATTCGGGAGTTTAACAAATCTCCGATCGCTCGTCAGACGGCCGGCTACGCAGCTGATATAGGATCGACACCCGTCGGTCTGGTAGGATCTCCTTTCACCAACGTCACTGCATCGATGGGACTACGGTGGAAGAGACTCGTCATCCCGGAGGCTGTTTGGGGCGAATGCTTTCCGAACAAAACCTGCATCGGATGTCTCCGCTATTTGGCGTCAGGGGCGAGTATTGCAAAGGAATCCGATCGAGAATGAGGCCCAGTTTCGGCAAAGCTCAATGCTTGCTGGATGCTCGGAGTCAGAACCGCGGGCATGAAGGTGGTTTCTCTGGAATGTTCATTTTTCCAGGAGGCGGACATCTCTCTGGGACCATACATCCTGTCCCCTGTCATGGATATATCGGTCAGAAACAGATGGCCGCTCTTCATCGATAACTTTGTGATAATCCATGGCATGACGAATCAATTCCAGTCCGCTGGTGCCTTCACATTGTTCAGTATCTATTCACCTCTCGTAAGTAGAGTCTTGTGGCTAGTTTTCCTTTATCTGGAGATTTTCGGATCTTCCCTGCCCGGAAATTGCCTATGTCTGTCTGCGTCGAAATCGCAAAGGGTCAGAGCGTCTGAGCCCGAATTTCACATGCGTTACTTTATTTCACCTTCCTCGTGAATTAATCTTCCCTCTATTCCTTCGATGACCCGTACATGCCGAGGCTAGAACGTGCATATATGAATGAGCACTCGCTAACGCTCATAAGCTATCCCGGACGATATAAGACCGGCCCCGCCAGGCTCGAGCCTTCCCGAGAGAAACTAAGAATCGAGCGCCGATACCATACCCTCGAAGCCATTCGTCAGCAAGTGTCGTCGTTTCCACTTATTCCTCCAAGAGTTATGCCCCATCGATTGTGATTCCTCGAGTGGGATAGAGATTAGGGGAGGGGTCTCTGAGAGATCCCCTTCAGGGTGAACCGAACTCTCGGCTCCCCCTTGACAACTTGGGCTCGGACCGCGCTTCGTGTTCTTCTGATCCGGACCGAATTCTCTCCCGAGCGAAAAAATCCACAAGGGCGCGGAACACGATTGATTTCTGATAGGTGTGGAGCCTGATCTGCCTCTGCTTGGTGGCCCTGCCCGTGCTGGCACGGTTCATGAGCGGATTCGTGGACCGGGACAACAGCTTTAGTTTGGGGGACCATTGGTTGACCTTCGTCGAGCAGCTCCTCTTGGAAGATGAAGTACCGCGAATAAATAATCTATCCTAGGATAATTATTCATTACGTCTCTGCCTTGAAAGAAAGTGAATGGGTGAGTGATGGACGATTCTGCATTCCATAGCGCCGGCGATAAGGTACAAATCGAATCCTCTACGAGTGCTCTTCTCTGGATGGATGCTCTCGGGGCTCGTCTTCAGCATGCTTGCCAGCGCGACGCTGAAATCGGTCATGTCGATAGCAACTCCGACTCCGAGACTCGAGACCGCGGGGGATATTCTCAAGAGGAAGCCCGAGGAGCTGACCGTCGCCATTCTCGCGGGAGGAGGGATTCTTGAGTCATTGGAGGCAGCCATTCTCCCAAAGATCTATTGCGACATTCGGACGATCATTAATTATTGTCCTAGGATTTCACTAGAGTGATGCGGTGCAATGTCATCTTGCAGAAGGCGGATTTCAAACCTCTGAATGATCTGGGAAAATTCCTGGTCCGCAGCAAGGGTCTCCTCCCGGATGCTGCCGCTTATAGCAACGCCGCTAGACTGAGGCAGCTGGAAACGGGGAGGTTACTCTACATACTCCCGTGTGAAATGATCGGGTCGTTCCTGTACTACTCGATCGAGGCAATAAATAGCATGCGAGGCTACATCTACTGCAGCGCGGGACCTCTGCTCAGGTTCCATATAGGCTGGGTCTCTTCGAGAAGGAGCGACGATCTCCGCGAGATGGCGTATCGGGAAATGGAAAGACGGTGAGAACCCGCGCTCCCATTGATATGCTTCGATGTATAGTCTCGGCCAAGGATTCGATATCTCGAGCTCCGAGGTCCCGATTCTCCCCACTGAGCTGAAGTCTAATGGGAATCGGACTCCAGGTTTCGCTGGATGGACGAGTCCCCGTCTCGTCATCTCCGACATTACGAGGTGGAACACCCGAAACTCAGCGAGAGAATCCTCAATCGTCAAGATAAAAACTCCCACCAGTCAACCCCGCAGCCACTCGGCCTGGAAGGAGTCGCCGGAACTTTCATGCTGCTCGGCATAACTCTGAGTTCATCTGTAATAGCGTTGATTATGGAAATTGTGATCCGAGCCCAGAGGACTGCTAGCAGCCATATGCGAAGGGAGTTTTCGAAATGGATCCCATCCCTTTGAATAAATTGTTCCCTTGAACTCTTTCGCCTCACTGACTGGGCGTCTCCCAGTGAGGGGATCAATGTATCTTAATGGGAAGTTCGAAAGATTCTGAGGAGATCGTATGAGGGAGCTGACGTACGAAGAATCGTTTCTCCATCCCACGAGTATACTGATTGTGAGAATCGGAATCCGTAACGGAGGGGATAGAATGCCCGGTAGATGACAGGTCCTG